GACCAGTTAGTACGTAAACTTTATCACAGACGACATAAAAGATAAGAGTAGTGCCTGTCTTTATACTTACTTTGACATAACTGATACCGGTGTCTCAAAAGTGAATATGTCGAATTATGCTGATCAAGGTCATAAGTGCGCATGTCCGTTCATATTTATCAATACTTAATCCATCCATCCANATTCCAAACGTATAATTCAGTTAATTATGTAAAACTTAATATTATCCCTTTCTTTATTAAATGTAATGTAATATATTTCTTTACAACAGGGCAACACTAGGTTCGGGGTCCCTTGTAGTTCGCGTCATGTGCACTGCAGTATTCACAAGTAACGAGCAGTTTCTCTTTAAATCAAATATTAGTATATTATCTAAAGGCATTTTAAAGATGCATTTGGAGCTAGTCGACATGTCAAAGGAGGGAGGGTCGGCTTCACGTCTGTTAACCAACCCCCTTCCTTCAAATAATCCTGGAACCGCCCCTGGGCAGCCTCAACCGACCTTAAACCTACCTTCGAAAACTCTGTGTTCATGAAGTACTGGCTCACGCCATATATAGATATGGCAGGGAGCAACACAAACACTTTCTTCCTCCACAACAAAGAGAGCACCTTCCCACCAAAACGCAGCGCACTTTTCACAGCGTCATTGGTGCTGGGTTTTACATTCTCCAGGAAAATCAGGGCGCATAAGAAAGCTAATCCTGTCATTCCAATATAGGCACCGAGTAGTATATGTACAATGTATTGTTCAGGTCGAGTTATGTAAGTGCCCGATGTATCTTCCCACGGGCAAAACGCAGGCCCGCACAAGTCGGTTAAGTTGTGGTGGGCGTCCAGACCACTTGTCGAATTCAGCCCATCGTTTGGATCATTCGGCTTAATCAACACCAGTGACGAGATCAAGTTGCTCCATATACCGCACGTTAAGTACAGAGAATAGAATGCTCCCTGGAAAAGCGACAGCACGTGCTCTTTACTTTGGCCGGTGACGTCAGCATATTGCAGTGCCTGATGGGTAATGAAGACGCCGATTGTTGCCGTTGTCTGGATATGAACTGAAAAGATAATGCCGTTGTCAGCGCTTTTCTGTTACTTGTTTATGCTCAATTTAAAAGCTTGCGTCCATTTAACAATATATATATTTATTGTGGACATGAAATGCACACAGTTAAGTTCGTACTCCTGAGTAACAAAAATGATGAAAATAGATAAATTAATTAATTAGTTAATAAACTATTATGGGATTTTCAGCACACCTTTCAATGGTGTTTGTCAGATCAGCACGCCAACACACACAACATAAACATGCACAAAGATAAAGAATGTACACACAGTACATACACAACACACGCACACAACACACACACACACACAAACACACACCTACTACATGCACTGCTAGTGCCACATGTCACCTTGACCAGTTAGTACGTAAACTTTATCACAGACGACATAAAAGATAAGAGTAGTGCCTGTCTTTATACTTACTTTGACATAACTGATACCGGTGTCTCAAAAGTGAATATGTCGAATTATGCTGATCAAGGTCATAAGTGCGCATGTCCGTTCATATTTATCAATACTTAATCCATCCATCCATCCGTCCATCTATGAACGTACCCATTCGTCCGTTCATCCACGCTTGCACAGTATATACCTGGTAGACACCTATTTATTTATTTATTTATTTATTTATTTATTTATTTATTTATTTTCAGCTTATAGAGTTTAAACAGAAAATTATTTTGCTGCCATTTGGTTGTTGTGTGGAAGCTTTGTTGAGGTTAATTCGTAAAATGAGCTGCAAAGATTTTAACAACGTTTTAATTTTTTTATACAACAACGTTACTATCGATCCTGTTTATATTGGCGAAGTTTCAGGATTGCTCATTGTTGATCTTTATTTTGTTTTATATTACAAAGTTCCATAATACTCTTTTTTATCTGAATAACTGTATTTCCTAGCCTTGGCAATGCCAACAAATCCAAAAATTAAGGATGCATGTATTCCTTACTTATGTTTTCATGTCTCATTTATCCAAAATCAATAAGTCGGTAAGATTAAAAAGGTAAACTTTTACTTTATCATTAGATTTAGCATTACGTTGAATAACAATAAAATAACGTTATGAAGTTAAAACTAATGTTAAAATAAATCAAAACTATCTTCAAAAATGAAAAAAAAACCTCGAGAATTTCGCTAAAATGATGATAAAATCAATAAAACGATATGGGGGTCATTATATCGTTTGCTGGGGGTGGTACACTCAACCTGGCATCCAACATCTTCTATCCTAAACTGTACTTACCGGCCCCTACAAGAACGGAGACGGGTAACAAGATATAGGGTTCCTGGAAATAATGGGCCGAGACAAAGACAGCTTGTCCAACCCACCCCAGTAGCACGGACCCCTTGGTGCCAAACGTCCTGGTAAAGAAAGGACCGACGAAAAATATGAAATAGGACCCGATGTAGTTACACATCAAAGCGTAGAAGCCGTACTCGGGAAACAGGATACCCTCTAGGTTCCACAAAGCATTGAAGGGAGAGTAACCGATCATGTAGACGAAGGCAAGAACCAGAAGCTGAAACACTGGTTTCCACTTGTTTTTCGGTTTGGCACTAGGAATCTCCAGCAGGAGCTTTTTCTCCGGAATTTCATCTTCTGGAATTCTGTGGCTGATGCTTAAAACGGCAGGGTCCATTTTGTGTTTTGTCGTCTCGCTTTTGAAGGAGTGACATCACCCCACCGATACTTACATGTATCTTATCTAGAAATGTGTTTATTTTGTCTGGTAAAGTAGGCCTGAGTGAAATCTTCTGACGTCAAGCCGAAGTCTCAGAGTTTACCAGAAGATAACCTCTATTATCAACATATGCTTCTCAGAAGTTCCATTTATAACGATCTAGCACGAATTCAGGGTTTTGTAAGGAGGGGGTTTGGGCAAAAATAAAAAGATACACATAATGTGTGTTCTTAATGAAACTATCGCATTATGGAGTTCGAACTTACTAATAGGGGACTCTCGCTGAATGCAATTAGATTAACACCCCATTTCCATAGATTAGATCGACCTACTTTAGATCGACCTAACTCCCTGGGGGTTCACGCTAAATAGCTGTCAGCCGGGCGGACACGAAAGTTAATTACCCCCTTAAAGCTTGTAGTAGGCGGGACGGACATTTAAGTCGGATTATCTGAAAGTAATCTAGTGAGACTCCCCGCGGGGATAGATCGATCTAAAATCTATGGGAATAGAGCCTAAGAGATTAACACGCCTCTCTCGGCAGAATACAGAAAAGCTGGTGATTATAAGAGTACGTTGGGAAAGGGAAGAGGCGTACGAGTGTTCATCTGTTAATCTGATTGCATTCAGCGAGGTTCCCCTGCCTAGACCGATAGTTTCATTAAGAATGAACCCTAAGGTTCGATGATATACTGGACTTGTCAAATATCAGTATTTATATGACGTCATTCACTACCACGTGTGCATTGTCTGGGACAGTACGTCGGTACTGAGGCCTACAGGTTAATATCAGAGCAAGTCTGAAACCTGTCCTTGGGCTACAATCTGAGCCTGCCAAACCTTGGCTGACTACCCAGCGTTGCACAAACAATCCAATCCTAAAGGCTGCTGATTATTTATTTATTTATTTATTTATTGCCTCGATTACAGTTTGGGTAACAAAATGGACAGAATTACTAAGAATACAAGGGTTCAGTATCTCTAAATATAAAAGGATTAGGCGTCTAATCCAAAATTTAACTCTTTAAAATGTAACGTGTAAGGTACTTTACAAGGGATTAACCTGCAAAAATGAAGTTTTCTCGGGAAAAAAACGCTTATTCTTAATTGCAAACCGTTGTTTGACGCGCCCCTGTACTTGGCTTTGATTATTTTTTTTCTATTTCTAATTTTATGACTTAATTATGAATGACTGTCCAGTCACTGAAAGAAAGCCATAGCATGTCTTTCCGTACATTTCAGAAGAGCTATCGGCAGCAAGTACCTTGAAGGGAACGAAATTGATTTTAAACATGCTCAAATCAGTTTATCTCCCTTTGGATTTGCGAGCGTACACCAACGTTAGCCTGCGTGCTTGAGCCGTATACGACGTAAGTCGAATGAACCCTTAGTGTTTGTCTGCGTATGGGCATTTTTTCTCATACGGTAAGTCTGAAAGTACCTTACGCCACGCTGCGTAGCAGCTAGACAATTATCTGTAACAGGGTCCCATATGAGAGGAATTATGATCACAGTTAAGGGGTAATAAAATCAATTCACAAAGCACAGTAAATAAAGGTTTGTCTATATCTCACTGATAATCAAAAATGCTAAAAATCACGCATCACCAGGTATAATGACTTCGTTGCACTTAGCGCAAAGAATAAAAAGGCGCATTCGCGAGTCACGAGAATGTGGTACATCACGGATCACGCATCTCGGGAAATAAAAAAGGGATCTTCGCGGGTAACGAAAGTATACAATGCGTTCGCTCCTGTGCTAGCGTGCACCAATTCCATATTGCGCAATTAAATTTATTCAAAGTGTTATTATTGACGTCTGTCTTGCATAAATATTTATTCTTCTCTATAGGGACCTATGCTTATGCCTGCAACAGATGCATATCACCTGTTAATATATTGCAAAACAATTAGTATGTAAATCACTAGCAGCCAATGGCATGCATAGATTCCCTTTAGATAAACTTGTATAAAGTCTGCTTATTTGTACATAAATAAAAGACACTTAAGATTTGGAACTGAAGGCGGGAGGTTGTTCTGTTCTGTTTCTCTGTGTACGTAAAGTGAAAGACTGGGTCAGAACTAAGTTATGTCGGAGCCCTTAGATTAGTTAAATCGTTGATAAAAAGTAATACGCTGGAATTCAGCACAATTATTCGTTGGAGTGAAAGCCATTTTGGACGGTTGACAACACTAGGCCTGTTTCTCCAATATTTCCCTACATAAGAACTCTTAATATTGCTATTACAGCAAAGTTGAGGAGATTAGCGCTTCCAAAAACATGATCGAAGATGAACCAGACAACGTCGACTTTGGGGACGGGGTCAAGGATTTCGACGACATCCTTGTGTTAATTGGCGAATTCGGAAAGTTCCAAAAATTAGTCTTCTTGTTACTCTCCATAGCAAGTATTCTACCAGCCATGGATTATGCTGCAGTTGTCTTTATAGAGGAGACTCCTGACTTCAGGTAGGTACATGTACGAAAGATGGGATTACTTGTAATTTCATAATGTGTACTCTGTGCTCTTTTGCATTATATCCATTCATTTCATTCACCTTGAGAGAGGGAGGGAGGTAGAGAGGGTACGAATAGAGATATTAACGTATTGTCAAAGTTTGAATTAGTTAAACCTTAATTTTGGTTGTGATTTTTTGTGTAGGCCTACATGCACGTTTATAACACACACCTCCCCCCAAAAAAAGAGAGATAGATAGATATAGATAGATAGATAGATCACACTTCATAGGAACAAGTGTGCCTTATAAGTTATGAGCCTATAAATACCTCATCTGACAGAAATAAATAAAACCCATTATAAACTTGCACAGAATCCCAATGTGTATCTGTTGATGCATTTATTTGAAGGTGTAGACTCCCCGGAGATTTGAACGACTCTTACTCTCCAGGGATGGCACTGTACCTAAACACAAGTGATCACGTGACATCAAATGCAACGGCGCAATGTACACAACTCGATGTCGTTATCAATCACCAGGGGAATGTCAGCCAAGACGGGACACACCCGAGCAAATGCACCGAATGGGTGTTTGATACTTCAGTAGTAAAGCATTCATACCCCATGCAGGTAAACTAATAACTAATAAGCAATCAAATAACGGACAGTATGATGAATTATTATATCAAATTACAATAATCAAAATATTGACATTGATTGACTAAAAAATACATTGATGTTTTCTAATAACCCATACGAAAAAGTCCTATAGGATCCTATAAGATCCTATAGGATCATATAGGAAATTGGATCTTATAGGATCCTATAGGACTTTTTCGTAAGGGAAGAGCATGTACGAAGTGGTATACATGTATATATCTCATTTATCAGTTTATTGAAATATTACATATTACATATTATTGCAAATTGATTAATATACTACCTTAACAATTCTCTACTTGCCGCATAAATTACCAATGTCAAATTTTATAAAACAGCTTTAACAGTGGTAATTTCTAGATGCTTACACATTTTTATTATTATTATTATTATTATTATTTAGTTCAAACTGGTCTGTGATAATTCCTGGATGCTCACGTTCTCTTACATCATGTACGTGTCGGGGACTTTGATTGGTGGTTTGGCGTTCGGTTTACTGTCAGACTGGTATGTATTATTTTATTAATCCATAAGATATAATTAATTCGTTTATTTCATTTTGAGTGTATTTTTGCCTATAAAATATTTTTCCGCTTCTGTAACTTGTATAAATGGCGAACCGTCCGTATCAAAGCAGAAGTTACTTTTCTCATCATTTGTCAAATCTACTTTTCTCTTCTCTAAATATTTAGTATTCACTTACCTGTACTCTTTTGTCTACAAACAAGCCTCCAAATGTGGCGGTGGATTGAGAAAAAAAACTCATCAAAAATACTATTCAACTTTTTAAAAGATTTAACCCGGGTACTTTCCTTTCAGGGCCGGCAGAAGGTTTTCTCTCCTGCTTGCCTTAGGGTTGAGTGGGTTCTTCGGATTAGGCTGGGTCTTTTCACCCACATATCCTTGTAGTATAGCTATACGGTTCATGTACGGAATGTTTACCAGCGAAATATTTACTCTCAGCACGACATTAGGTAACGACCATTTTTGTTATTATATAATAACGATAATATAAATTATAATAATAATAATAATAATAATAATAATAATAATAACTACTCTTTGCATGGTGCTTGCATTTGTTTTCAAAGTTGAAAAGAAACTAGCTAATGTTTTATATACTAGCAGTATTCACACCGAGCCACAAACAGCTATAATATGGTCTAACACGTGTGTTCACATTAACGCATTTTTATTCTTTAAGCCCTGGAGCTTGTAGGGCCTCACAAACGCATGATAGCCGGAACAGCTGTGGGTATCGTCTCCACGGCGGGCGGAGTAGTGGTAACGGGAATAGCCTATTTTCTGCGAGACTGGCGCCATCTACAGTTATCAATATCTGCGCCGTATTTAGTATTTGCAGCGACTTTGTTTTGGTAAACATTTTTATACTTTAAACATTGGACACATTAAAATTTAAATATGCTTTCATGAGAAAAGTTCCAGAATTAATTTTTCGATGAGTTTAATTTAACCATTTATACGTCTGATAATAATTTAATGAATAGGCCTATATGAATATATATTAAATGTATTAAATAATTGGAAATTATTTATTATTTTTGTGGCTGTTGCTGTAATTTATTTATTTATGAACATACTAATGTATTTAATATTATATAATGGAATGTATTGTAATGTATTGTAATGTAATGTAATTTGATTACTTTTATCAGTTATCATTGTGATGATATAATCACGGACATAATGACGAATCTCTCATTATGTTCATGATATAATTAATAAATGTTAGAATTAAATTGCACATATCCACCTAACAGGCTCCTTCCTGAATCTCCACGATGGCTGCTAACGAAAGGACGTCACGAGGAAGCCGAGAAGATCCTGAGGCGTGCAGCGAAAATGAACGGCAAAGAATTCCCCAAGGGCCTTCTGACCAAGGTGGAAATAAACGAGCTACCTAGCACGAGTATCCGGGCTCTACTACACGCCCCAAAATTGATGTTTAGGATGCTGTTGTTGTATATTAATTGGTATGTATGTTTCGGATATCGAAACCGGTATACAGGGTACATCAATAGGCTCAAATAATNATCCATCCGTCCATCTATGAACGTACCCATTCGTCCGTTCATCCACGCTTGCACAGTATATACCTGGTAGACACCTATTTATTTATTTATTTATTTATTTATTTATTTATTTATTTATTTATAGAGTTTAAACAGAAAATTATTTTGCTGCCATTTGGTTGTTGTGTGGAAGCTTTGTTGAGGTTAATTCGTAAAATGAGCTGCAAAGATTTTAACAACGTTTTAATTTTTTTTTACAACAACGTTACTATCGATCCTGTTTATATTGGCGAAGTTTCAGGATTGCTCATTGTTGATCTTTATTTTGTTTTATATTACAATGTTCCATAATACTCTTTTTTATCTGAATAACTGTATTTCCTAGCCTTCATGGCAATGCCAACAAATCCAAAAATTAAGGATGCATGTATTCCTTACTTATGTTTTCATGTCTCATTTATCCAAAATCAATAAGTCGGTAAGATTAAAAAGGTAAACTTTTACTTTATCATTAGATTTAGCATTACGTTGAATAACAATAAAATAACGTTTTTTATGAATCTAAAACTAATGTTAAAATAAATCAAAACTATCTTCAAAAATGAAAAAAAAAAAACTCGAGAATTTCGCTAAAATGATGATAAAATCAATAAAACGATATGGGGGTCATTATATCGTTTGCTGGGGGTGGTACACCCAACCTAGCATCCAACATCTTCTATCCTAAACTGTACTTACCGGCCCCTACAAGAACGGAGACGGGTAACAAGATATAGGGTTCCTGGAAATAATGGGCCGAGACAAAGACAGCTTGTCCAACCCACCCCAATAGCACGGACCCCTTGGTGCCAAACGTCCTGGTAAAGAAAGGACCGACGAAAAATATGAAATAGGACCCGATGTAGTTGCACATCAAAGCGTAGAAGCCGTACTCGGGAAACAGGATACCCTCTAGATTCCACAAAGCATTGAAGGGAGAGTAACCGATCATGTAGACGAAGGCAAGAACCAGAAGCTGAAACACTGGTTTCCACTTGCTTTTCGGTTTGACACTAGGAATCTCCAGCAGGAGCTTTTTCTCCGGAATTTCATCTTCTGGAATTCTGTGGCTGATGCTTAAAACGGCAGGGTCCATTTTGTGTTTTGTCGTCTCGCTTTTGAAGGAGTGACATCCCCCAATCTATACTTATCTACAAATGTGTTTATTTTGTCTGGTAAAGTAGGCCTGAGTGAAATCTTCTGACGTCAAGCCGAAGTCTCAGAGTTTACCAGAAGATAACCTCTATTATCAACATATGCTTCTCAGAAGTTCCATTTATAACGATCTAGTACGAATTCAGGGTTTTGTAAGGAGGGGGTGTTGGCAAAAATAAAAAGATACATATAATGTGTGTTCTTAATGAAACTATCGCATTATGGAGTTCAAACTTACTAAAAGGGGACTCTCGCTAAATGCAATCAGATTAAGAGATTAACACGCCTCTCTCGGCAGAATACAGAAAAGCTGGTGATTATAAGAGTACGTTGGGAAAGGGAAGAGGCGTACGAGTGTTCATCTGTTAATCTTATTGCATTCAGCGAGGGTCCCCTGCCTAGACCGATAGTTTCATTAGGAATGAGCCCTAAGGTTGGATGATGTACTGGACTTGTCAGATATCAGTATTTATATGACGTCATTCACTATCACGTGTGCATTGTCTGGGACAGTACGCCGGTACTGAGGCCTACAGGTTAATATCAGAGCAAGTCTGAAACCTGTCCTTGGGCTACAATCTGTCTGCGTATGGGCCTTTTTTCTCATACGCTAAGTCTGAAAGTACCTTACTCCACGCTGCGTAGCAGCTAGAATTATCTGTAACAGGGTCCCATATGAGGGGAATTATGATCACAGTTAAGGGGTAATAAAATCAATTCACAAAGCACAGTAAATAAAGGTTTGTCTATATCTCACTGATAATCAAAAATGCTAAAAATCACGCATCACCAGGTATAATGACTTCGTTGCACTTAGCGCAAAGAATAAAAAGGCGCATTCGCGAGTCACGAGAATGTGGTACATCACGGATCACGCATCTCGGGAAATAAAAAAGGGATCTTCACGGGTAACGAAAATATACAATGCGCCCGCTCCTGTGCTAGTGTGCACCAATTCCATATTGCGCAATTAAATTTATTCAAAGTGTTATTATTGACGTCTGTCTTGCATAAATATTTATCCTTCTTTATAGGGACCTATGCTTATGCCTGCAACAGATGCACATCACCTGTTAATATTGCAAAACAATTAGTATGTAAATCACTAGCAGCCAATGGCATACATAGATTCCCTTTAGATAAACTTGTATAAAGTCTGCCCATTTGTACATAAATAAAAGACTTAAAGGTTTGCGGTTGTTCTGTTCTGCTTCTCTATGCAAGTAAAGTGGAAGACTGGGTCGGACCTGGAATTACATGTATGTCGGAGCCCTTAGACTGGTTAATTCGTTGATAAAATTTAGTTCACTGGAATTCACTACAATTATTCATTGAAGTGAAAATCATTTTGGACGCTTGACAACACTAGGCCTATATCTCTAACATTTCCTCATGATATAAGAATTCTTAATATTGCTATTACAGCACAGTTGACGAGATTAGCGCTTCCACAAACATGGTCGAAGATGAACCAGACAACGTCGACTTTGGGGACGGAGTCAAGGATTTCGACGACATCCTTGTGCTAATTGGCGAATTCGGAAAGTTCCAAAAATTAGTCTTCTTATTACTCTCCATAGCAGGTATTCTACCAGCCATGGATTATGCTGCAGTTGTCTTTATAGAGGAGACTCCTGACTTCAGGTGGGTACGAGAGATACGATTTTAAAATTGTTGTTCTTTAAAGGGATAATAACTCTTCGTATGAGACCTATATTTCACAATGAATAACTCATAGAAATATAATATATTCTGTTTTACCAAGAAAACAGCAGTTATAGCTTTTATTCTGATATTTGAACTTGTCTTTAGACCATGTGACCTCCATTGATGGCTATACTCTGTTAAAATCTCTTAAGAGATTTTAACAAAAAACCAAACTTTTTAGAAAAAAAACCAGGGACTAGCTTTGAATGTAAAAATGGATTCATTAACCATTGGTAAGTATGGGAAAATTGTTGTTTACTCCAGGAAAATTCATTTTTTGGCCGAAACGAAGAGTTATTATTGCTTTAAAGTAGTTTTTGTGCTCTTTGAAATTACATCCACCAATTATATTCACCTTGCCTTGGAGAGAGAGAGATGGAAAGAGAAAGAAAGAGAGTTCGAATACAGATATTAACGTATTGCCAAAGTTCGTAATAGTTCAAGCAAATGATATTCTATCGGAACACATGTGACTTATAAGTGAGGGCACTATAAAGACCTTATCTGACAGAAATGAATAAAACTCTTATAAACTTGCTACAGAAAAGCCATTTGTATCTGTATATGGAATTCTCGATGCATTTATTTAAAGGTGTAGACTCCCCGGAGATTTAAACGACTCGTACTTTCCACGTGTGTCATGGTACCAAAACACAAGTGATGACGTGACATCAAATTCAACCACCCAGTGTACACACCTGGATGTCGTCATCAATCACCAGGGGAATGTTAGCCAAGACGGGACACACCCTAGCAAATGCACTGAATGGGTGTTTGATACTTCAGTAGTTAAACATTCATACCCTATGCAGGTAAACTAATAACTAATAAGCATTCAAGTAATTGACAGTATGATGAATTATTATATCAAAGTATGATTATCAACATATTGACATTGACTGATTAATAAATACATTATTTTAACATAAGCATGTATGAAATGGTATACATGTATATTTAATTAATCAGTTTATTGAAATAAACATAATTTTGCAAATTGGTTGTTATACTACATTATCAATTTTCTACTTGCCGCATAAATTACCAAAGTCAAATTTTATAAAACAACTTTAACAGTGGTAATTTCTGGATGGTTACACATTATTATTATTATTATTATTATTATTATTTAGTTCAAGCTGGTCTGTGACAATTCCTGGATGCTCACGTTCTCTTACATCATGTACGTATCGGGAACTTTGATAGGTGGTTTGGCGTTCGGTTTACTGTCAGACTGGTGAGTATGTTTTATTTAATTGATTAATTCATAAGCTATAATTAAATCATTTATTTCATTTTAGCACATTTTTGCCTATAACATATTTTCCGATTAGTGACTTGTACATGTATAAATGGCGAACCGTCCGTATCAAAGCAGAAGTTCCTTTTATGATCATTTGTCAAATCTCTTTTTCTCTTTTATAATTATTTAATAATGACTTACCTGTACCTTTTGTCTACAAACACGCCTTCAAATATGGCGATGGATTGAGAAAGAATACCTCATCAAAAAATATTATTCAAATTTTTAAAAGATTAAACCCGTGTGCTTTTCTTTCAGGGCCGGCAGAAGGGTTTCTCTCTTGCTTGCCTTAGGGTTGAGTGGAATCTTCGGATTAGGCTGGGTCTTTTCACCCACATATCCTTGTAGTATAGCTATACGGTTCATGTACGGCATGTTTACCAGCGAGATATTCACTCTCAGCACGACATTAGGTAACGACCAATTGATATTATTATTATTATTATTGTTATTATTATTATTATTATTATTATTTTAATTTGGTGATATTTGGTGCTGTCTTTTTTCAATTAAAATGAAAATCCCTCTACCTTTGGGGAAATTACAGTGAAACCTTGCAATTGAGAGGGGGGATGTTATAAATTTGAATAAATGGTACAAAACACGGATATCTTCATCTCATTTTTTTTATTTTCAGTACCATTTTAAAAAGCACTGTTAATAATAATTTTGTCCCTTTGTAAAAAAAGGGTACATGGAACTGGAGCTGGGACGACCTTTGACCAGAAATGTATATATATGTCCAGTCATTGTGAAACAAATGAATGTTTTGTGTGTTCACGTTACGCATTTTCACTCTTTAAGCGCTGGAGCTTGTAGGGCCTCACAAACGCATGATAGCCGGAACAGTTGTGGGTATCGTCTCCACGGCGGGCGGAGTAGTGGTAACGGGAATAGCCTATTTTCTGCGAGACTGGCGCCATCTACAGTTATCAATATCTGCGCCGTATTTAGTATTTGCAGCGACTTTGTTTTGGTAAACACTTTTATACTTTGGACACATAATCATTAAAGTGCAAATATGCTTTCATGAGATGGTTCCAGTATTTATTTTTCGATGAGCTTAATTAACCAATTAATACGTTTGATAATAAGTTAATAGATAAGTATATTAATATATATTAAATGTATTAAATAATTGTGAAATTATTTATTATTTTTGTGCCTGTTGCTGTAATTTATTTATTTATGAACATACTAATGTAATTAATATAATATAATGGAATGTATTGTAATGTAATGTAATTTGATTACTTTTATCAATTATCATTGTGATGATATAATTAATTAATTTTAGAATTAAATTGCACATATCCACCTAACAGGCTCCTTCCCGAATCTCCCCGATGGTTGCTAACGAAAGGACGCCACGAGGAAGCCGAGAAGATCCTGAGGCGTGCAGCGAAAATGAACGGCAAAGAATTCCCCAAGGGCCTCTTGACCAAGGTGGAAATAAACGAGCTGCCTAGCACGAGTATCCGGGCTCTACTACACGCCCCAAAACTGATGTTTAGGATGCTGTTGTTGTATATTAATTGGTATGTAAGCTTCGGATATCGAAACCGATACACATCAACAGCCACAAACAATAATAAGAATAATAATAATGTAATAATGTACGGAATAAGATAGATACATGTAGATAGATAGACAGATAGGAGGTTATAAATAAATAGGTAAATAAATGGTAACAACGTTTAATGACAAAAGTTCCACATGTAGGCTACCTTTGCTAGTCGACCATGAAAATGTATTACTATCCAACGTGTAGAAATTTTGCGCAGCCTTTGTAATTAGAATCGCCTACTATCTATTTCATGAAAGTTCTTCGGCTTCAGCACTTATTCAAAATTATGCGTACAGGTTTTACTGGTACATACTTGGCGCCAACACTTACGCCACAACTACTCCCGTACAAACTTCAAACATTCTCACAATGCACTCTCTGAAAAGATAAGATAGATTAAAGGGATTATAACTCTTCGTTTTGGCCAAAAAAATGAATTTTCCTGGAGTAAACAACCATTTTCCCAATGGTTAATGAATCCACATGCAAAGTTTGTCCCTGTTTTTTTTTTCCTAGAAAGTTTTTTTTTTTTTTTTTTTTTTGTTATAATCTCTTAAGAGTCATCAGTGGAGGTCACGTGGTCTAAAGACAAGCTCAGATATCAGAATAATAGCTATAACTGCCGTTTTCGTGGTAAAACAGAACATATTATATTTCTATGAGTTGTTCGCAATGTTTTTATTGTGAAATATTGATCTCATACGAAGAGTCATTATCCCTTTAACTATCCACAATTCATTTTTCGCTTTTAGTATAATTTTTTTCTTAAACATCTGTTTTGGTTGACTCCTCAAAAAGAGTTCACCAAAAAGCCTAACAAATTAAACATTTTTCCTTAATTTCATCATTTCTTTGAATTATTTCTTCATTTCTCGCAGGATGGTACTCGACATGACACACTACGGGATAAGTCTCCATACGGGCAACATGGCGGGGAACATCTACCTGAACTTTTTACTCTACTCCCTCGTGGATTTCCCCGGATATGCTCTGTGTTTTACCATAGACAGATTTGGTCGGAAGAAGATTTACACGCTGTGTTTAGTCACGGGCGGCCTGGCATGCCTGTCAACTCTCTTCGTACATCTCTATGGAGAGGAAGGTAAAAATATTAATCAAAGCGAACATTTGAGACACGTTGGTGATAAATAAATTACATTAAAAACGCACCTATAAATATCAGGCATGAAGTATAAAAGATAAAAGAAGTGCCTAAGCTTTCCGTATTCTGTTAGCACACAGGCTGAAAGCACGGGTCTATGTATCTATCATTTTTTATCTTTATAGATGCGTTCTTTATGTAATTTACGGATTTATTATTCAAGATCTATATAAGATCGATGTGATTATGATGAATCCTTAAAGTCACGCATGTATTTTGTGTAATATTTGTTTTATGTTTATTTTCCGTTACTGTTGCTTTCTTGTCATATAGTAGGGTTCTGCAGTATAAACATCGACAATAATGATGCAGGTCCGAATATTGCAATTATAACGAAAAAAATATGCGCGTCACTGGTGCAATTCAAATACTCATTTTAAAGTGGCCGTTATAACTATCATGTAAAATCGATGTCGTCAGCGTCTACCATAAAAGACATTATTTTTTGATTTTTGTGATTCTCCATCGACCTCTCATCCTAGACAAAACCCTGTATAATTAAAGTATAGAGTGTCAGAATGCGAATAAGTTTTTTTTTCCATAGAAACTAATGTCTGTCGGAGTTATAGATTTACATTATATCAGATGGATAAAAAAAAACGCAACGAATTTTAAAATGTAATAGTAAATAAATAAATAAATAAATAAATAAATATTCACTATAATTATAAAAAAAAATCAACAAGCCAATTGTTACATCTGTCCATGGTTTTAATCCTGAAGTTTCTTTTTCGTTCTTTTACATGTATTTCGTTTTTTTTTTTAATGAACTTGTTCAATTTTTTCCAGATGCTACTTATTCTTACTACGTCAAAATGGCGCTCTCTACAGTCGGGAAATTAGGAATCGCGGCAGCTTACGGAATCAGTTACATATGGGGTGTTGAACTGTTCCCCACTGTGGTCCGTAACTTCAGTTTAGGTCTAGGCTCCGTGGCTTCCTGCGCGGGGGCTATTCTTACTCCAATAGTTGTCGTAAGTATTACTATTAAAACGAGAAAATTACTGTACCTTGTTAAAGGAGGGATGTTTGATTCCTCAAGAACTTCGTTGCGTTGCCCCGAAACGTACGAATATTTCTTACTTTTAAAAAACATGATAAAATGTTCACGTGTAGAAAACTGAAGATATGGTGTGAGCATAAAGAAGAAAAAAATGTCCAACCTTTAGCGCATAGGCCTATAATAAAGAATAGATGAATTAATAATATTGCTAATTATGATAGTAATAAAATATGATAATAAAATAATGATGAATATTGGTAAATGATTAAAAACGTGAATGAATATAATTTAAAAATAAATACATGAATAAGATTTAAAATAAATAGATAGATGCAATGTACAAACAAAATGCTGAATTGGAATTTAACATTTACTAAATTTTTTTTAAATTCAGAGAGAAGTCAAGGCAGACAGTATAGGAGAGGACACTTTGCCCCTCGTGATATTCGGAGTGGCCGCCATATTTGGAGCCATATGTACGATACCCTTGCCAGAAACGACGAACCGAGACTTACCCGAAACTATAGAAGACGCGGAGAATTTTCAAAGGTACACTTTCCGTTTATTATTATTATTATTATTATTATTATTATTATTATTGTTGTTGTTGTTGTTGTTGTTGTAAATGTAAACCAAACGCGTCTTTGAAAATTGGCTAACTATTTAAATGACTAAAATTAACTAATTTTAAAATGACTAACCAAATATTTATAATGTGGAAAAATATCAACACAGAAGCAATGTACATGTACATGTATGTCTTTCCGAGTAAAAATGTTTTAAAAATTGGGGGAAAAATCCATTGTACATGTATACAAGGCATGACTAGATTTTGACCACAAGATCTGCACATAGCAGAGTTTGAGAACGTTTAACTGATTAAAAGTCTATTTGTTCGTGCTTGTTTGCGCCCTCATTTATACAAGACCGTGTCCGTGCAAGAGCGGATGGGGCGGGGGGGGGGGGGGGGTGAGGGGTTGGACTGACTAGCCTTAATTACATCATTACGATTTTTGATTCCAGACGCACAAAACGCAAACTCGATGAAAAAGAATACCACATTTCACCAACGATCGAGATGATGGAGATGCCACGGAAAAACGCCTCAGCCACATCGCGCTTATCTATATGATCACGAAAGACTATTTAAACCGAATAACGAAAACAGAAACCAAATAGAGCAATACAAAACTTTTATAGTATGTATGTATGTATGTATGTATTATTATTATTATTATTATTATTATTTTGATACTCATAAAGTTTGTCAGTAGGTTTCATCAGAATACCCATGATTGTGAAAGAATAGGACATACAAGTACACATTAACAAGTTTTCTTCCGGGAACTTGGGTCCATTGAAGGCAGCCTATTGTAGAAAGACCTATTGGAATTTGAATCTTGAATCATCAAATGCAGCTGTGGTCTTTCGCTTTCTTAAAAAACAAGAGCATTTACTTAAATGTGTGGTAGGCGCATGTACACCTGTAATAAATAAACAGGGCGTATATAGATAGGGAAGAGGCTTAAATAAATAAATAAATAAATAAATAAATAAATAAATAGGGCCTAAGAAAAACGATTGACGGAAAAATGAAAAGTGGCCTACGTATTGATTGAAATCAATAAAAATAAAAATTGATTGACTTTGCTGCTTGGATGAAACACGCACCTCTCAGGGTTGATGGCTGAGTAGGCCTTGTAGGTCTAAGCTTGAGGCAGCTGTTGAAGTCTACAATAGGGTACTAGTATATGGGCCCTTCGTGCAAGCAGGTTATTTTAATAATTGGTATGACCAAGGTCTTCATAAGTGATAGGACCTCACTGCCGTTTGGGATCTCGAGTCATGGATTTCACAAAGAAAACATTCTTTTCAAAACATTTTCAAAACATATTCAAAACATTATTCTCACAAAGATAGCATTGGACTTCCATTTACGCTTTATTGTTGTCAAGTTTTTAACTTGTTTAAACAAAATAAACCAGAGTAATACCTGCAGGTTAAAAAACGAACTACATGTAAAAGGCGTCTTATTCAAGATTGACGTAATTTTATTCAAGCGTTTTTTTTTTTCATTTTATTATTATTTTTTTTTTTTTTGTAATCAATTTAAATATCTTCACAGCAAAATATTGAATATTTACATTTAACAACAAGGAATTCTACGAATTCTACTGATTCGCTTATTATAATTATCTCGTCCTAATTAGATTAAAAAGCATTCCCTTAAAATTTTTGATGTGGCAGGCTCAGATGTGCAGTTGGTGAGTTTACGGGCATATTTCATCCACGCCAGGGACTCACGATCTTACAACTTTTTACGGTGTGCCACTCTGGTATGGCAGGGTGCCACGCCCCTGGCGAGAGGCTGGGGCCGGAACGGCTTCATCCTCGTCAGAGCTGTACAGTTCGCCTTGAAAAAGGACAAAGGCCGGTTCAGAATGTGATCCTTAATCTTCATCATCTTCATTATCATCATCTTCATCATCTTCATCGTCATCAGAAGAGGAAACTGTTTTGGTAGCGGCGTTTTCTTTGTCCGACTTTCTTTGAAGGATCTGGGAAAAATGATGCCACAATGATGAACGTTCGTTTTCTTAAGGCGGGTTATGCTTCCTTTCTGTTGTAGAGTTTTAAAACATTTTAAATGGCACTTTACATCCATG